CCTCAGCTCCTCTGGGCAACCTGACCCTCACAGGAAAGAATTTCTTCCTAATATCTCATCTAAATCTACTCTCAAGTGGGTACTTAAGCAATACATTTGTACTCATGGGCTGGAAGGAGGTAACCAGTGGCGGGTCTTGGACAGCATCAAGCCAAGGAGAACCACAGTGGAGATTGTGTAGGTGGGATGTAGGGGATCTCATTGACCTTGAGTGGGAAGTCACTGGTGTCTGGGGTCTGATGTGGCAATCTCTGTTGGAGTGAGCATGGCTGAGGTGCAGGAGTAAGGAGAGATACAGCTCTCCATTAAAGATTACTCTTCAGCACTGACATGCATTTGGCAAGATGCCAAAAGCCTCAGGATTGCTAGGGATTGATCCCAGCTGCAATGCAAAATGCCAGCACTGAGCCATGAAGGTGGAGCAAGGAGTAAGCCAGAGCCTGGGACTGCCCTGGTGCAGTCCCTTGTGAGAAGGCAGATAAACAAATAAAAGAAATGAAGTCTTAGTGAGAAAATAAAGATGACATGCCCTAGCTGGGTGGGAAAGGCCATTGCTGCCAGACACAACCCATGGGGGCAGCAGCCCAGCACCATCCTTTTCCCACGCCCTGCTCACCCTCTCCGAGCGACAGGAGCCTTCAGCTTCTTCACCCTCAAATATTCCCTTCCCTGCTTCCATGGCTGGGTTAAGTCTCTAGCACATGGACATCAATGCAGTACATTAATAAGTTCTTAAACTCCCTCTGATGTTTCTTCAGCACCCACAAATGCAAACCCCTGAACTCCTGCTCCACATAGGAGGTGGAAGAGAAGCTACGGGGACATGCTGGGTATAACACAGTAAATTGGAGCTGACTTACTCATAGAGTCATAGAATGGTTTGGGTTGGAAGGGATCTTAAAGTTCATCTAGTTATAACTCCCTGCCATGGGCTGGGTCTCCCACTAGACCTTCCACTAGACCTGGTTGCTCCAAAACCCATACAACCTGGCCCTGATCCCTTTCAGGGATGAGGCAGCCAGAGCTCCTCTGGGCAACCTGGGCCAGTGTCTCATCACCCACACAGGAAAGAATTTCTTATTAATATCTCATCTAAATCTCCCCTCTTCCAGTTTGAAACCATTCCCTGTCATCCTATCAATATGTGCCCTTGTAAAAAGTCCCTCTCCAGCTTTCTTGTAATAAAGGTATCAACCTCTCCGAAATAACTGTTCTGTGCATTTGACCCCTGCAAGGACACACACACTGCGAGGACTCAAAAAAATTCCTAAGAAGTTAAGAAATTAAATTATACTCTGATGTAGGTGTTCCTCTGAGTTGTATCAGGAATGGGACAGGGTGGGGTTTTCGCCAAAGCATCAGCTCCAGAAAGGGTTAATGGCACACGAGATATGTTTAGTGGGATTTAGTATTTTTTTTTAAAAACTCCAACAAACAAAGCATGTGAGAAAATCCAGTTCATAGCTGAGCCCTGGCTGCCTGCCCACTAGGGCAGGGAAAACGCAGATGGTTCAACGTACCCACCCGCCTGCATTTCTCCCACAGGCCTTGGCTCAGGGTCCCCAGCAGGTCCCCCAGATTGTATTTGAGCCAGCTGAGGTACCAACAGTGCAGCCTGCAGGGTAGAAGAAGTTCTGAACCAGGAGCACATCTACTTCCCTTGAGCATTTCCAGCTTCCTTGGACCCAAGGAGGAGCCGGGATCCTGCCAGGCTCATCGTGTTCAAAAATAGTAATTAGATCTCAAAGTAACTAGGTGTTAACAGAAACACAAAGCTCCACCACAGTCTGGATAAACACCTTTAGAGTCAACTTCATTTCCCTTCACCCAGCAGATGGAATCACACTGCTCTGCAATTATTCTCAGGTTGGGCTGGGGAATGAAGCCACCACGGTGGCTTTTGTGGAGCAGCTGCTTCTGGTTGGAGCCAGGGCAGCCAGTGGCATCCCCCTCTCCACTGACATTTAGATCCTTGAGGCTGAAATGAGCTTCCTTTCCTTGAACCAGATGTGTAACACAGCTGGCCAGCAGCTAAACCAGCAGCTAACCCTAGCGTGATGTTAAACCACCCTAGACTCCAGCCTGTTTCTTAATCCTTTGAGTTCCCTCGTCTAGACAGGACATGGAGGACTAATGTGAAAACCAAGTGACAGAAAATTTACACTCTCCCATTTCCAAACGGAAAGTAGCATCAAAGGGTAGAAATTCCTTCAATATTTTTTTTTTTTTGCCTTTTGGGAGCTCGGGCCAGCACTGTGCTGGTGCAGAGGGTTTGCAGCTGGTTTGCATCACCGTGTGCAGCCACTTTTGGGCTGTTCATTTGCTCACTAAATCATGCTAAAAAAGCAACAGAAACCTTTCCCTTCCATTGTGGAGAGCTGGTGAAACAGGCTTTGAATCAAACTGCCCCAACAGCTAACAGGTTTTTCCCCCTTCACTGGTGGATTAAAAACAAACCTGTGACTGGTGGCTGGGGATCAGCTGATGTGGAGCAACCTCCAAGCAGAAGGTAATTTAATATGTGATGGCACCTGTAGTAAACACCTCTGCAGGTGATGGAGGGTTTCCCTAGCCAGGATGCAAATATAACCCAGCTGGGAAGAGCCCAGCTTTGGGGCTGGATGCAGTAAGGCTTTTGGGTCAGCCTAAAGCAGTCATGTACCCAGGAATGAGAACAACCAGAAGAATGTGCACAGCAGCTTCCCTGGCAGTTTCTGATCTCATTCCACCTCACTGCCTGTCTGTTGGGAGAGGGAGGTTTAGTTAATGAATTGCTACAATTAGCATGGAGCTATTCCTGACCATGATGGTTATGTTTTCCTCCCCTTTTTGGTGCATCCAATTACTGACTTGTTCACTATCCAAGGCCAAGATTACAACAAGGCACAGAGAGGCTGAAGGAAGGGGTAAAGGGCTGGGAAAGAAATTTAAAAGGCCCCAAATTTCTACCTAGGAACTGGCTTATTCTTATGCAAACCCCTCATTGGATCCCACCCATCAACTCATGGCTTCAAGAAGGTGATGAAGAGGGAGCCTGGGAGTTACTGCTGTGACTGGTTTATTTCTCCCTCCATCTGACCCATCAGGAAGGATGGGTTACGGGCTTATGTATCCTAAAATGGACAAGGCTCCCAATACCCATCACACTGCAATGACCCTCCCACCCCTCTGCCCAGCCTCGGGCCTTGGGTTCTTCAAACAGACATTATCTACTTTGGGAAATCAATGATTTATTCACCATTACTTAGCAGTGACAGAGAAGGAAAGGTGAGTGCGGGGTCACCGCTTTGGCGAGCACCAAAGCGAAGCACCAGCCCTGAATAATTCATACTCCCTCTTTTCTGCAGCATCTGGACACATCTGCTGCATTTGCCCTTGCAGGCTTTTTCTCAGTTGACTCAGAAAATCATTCTTTGGCAGCCGGGTAGTGTTTCAAGTG